AAGGACAGCATCGTGCCAACTCGTCATCTAGCAGTAGAAAGAGAGAGCGCACGAGCAGCACCAAGCCCCCGGAACCATCAAGCGCCAAGCAAGCAAGTTTCTTCAAGGAACATCGTGCCAACGCCGCTCAATCCAGCAGTGGAGAGAGAGAGGGAGAGCAAAGCCGAGCGACACGCCGAGCGAGGGAGCAGCAGGAGCTGTTCGTATCCTCCCACACCACACAAGCTAACGACACAATTAATATTACGAGGGGACAACGCACACACAGCACGCACACGAATAAGACTTTAAAAGAAAACTGTCTTTTCGTTTCAAAAAGGGTTGCCATTTCGAGGTGGTGCGTTCAATATCAACTGATCGTGCAAAGCAGTTGCTGCCGTCGAGTTACATAAATGCATAAGAGTTTTCGTTATTCATATTGCATAATTGCATAATTTCGCAACTGCATAAGTTTTTGTCGTTCATATTAGTTAATTGCATAATCTTGCCCATGAATTATTGACGCATGTTTGACCTGCATGATAGAATGTCACGTGCTTGTTAGAATAAAATTGTTATCACAGAAGCATATCGAGTGTTCCTTCCAAGTCCATGCAAAACTGTCTTATTCTTGACAACTGTATCCTGTGATGAGATATGAAAATGGAGACCTAAAATATTATAACACACACTAGGATAATCGGTAAATGAATCTATGATAATCGTGTTATCCTGATTGATAACTCTGGATAAACGAAAGCAAATTATCATAACTGCACACATTAACATAATCGCAAGCCTCCGCATAAATTACTACGATTATCATAATTTATGCATATAATCACACGCATTATCATAATTTATGCATATTAATACACACACTATCATAATTAATGCGATTTGCGCATTTTTCGGAAAATTATTAATTTTTATTATTTTCATCAAAATTTCATAATCACAACACATACAACACCCGCCATTCGCCACGAAGTGACGGTGACGTCACAAAGGCACATGTGCCAGGCCAGGTGCACGTTGAGGCCACGTGAAGTGTCGAAGGCTCGCTAACAGGACGAGGTCTCGGAACAGACCCAGCAGGTGCCATGGGTTGGCTGACTGAGATGACCCGTAGATGCACCACCAGCTGTACCTCCTACTGTGCCAGGCTAGGTGCAGGAGGTCTCGGGACAGACCCAGCAGGTGCCATGGGTTGGCTGACTGAGATGACCGGTAGATGCACCACCAGCTGTACCCCCCACTGTGCCGAATTGCTCCATTTTAACCGCCCGGCTCTCCGCTCGTTGTTGTGAGCGTCAGAGATGCACATGGTATTATATACAGGCATGTGTTCACATATACCACGTCCTGGTATGTGTACACGTACAGCCTACTGCCCCATGTAATATCTATGCAACGTATCGTGTGGGGTGTGCATGCACAAGTACACGCCATGTACAATGTATAGCAAAAGTGTGTGCGTGTGGAATAAGACTGCACCACACAGACACTATGCACGACGCAAAGACGACGATGTGATAGGTAGGATGCGTTGGACAGTGTTTACATTTTGCCCCACACACATAATGTAACGTATTACCGTAGTGCATACATGCTCCACATGCTTAGTAGACATACTGTACAAAAAAAAAACAAAGAACCCCCATATAGCCTGTAACAGGCTGTTGGGGCAAGTGCTGTTAGCGAGCACCTATGAAGGCCAGAACGGCACACGAGGGGGTGGGTGGCCAACACCACGCCCGGCCGCCTTTGTCTCCCCAGTGGCGATGTTTACTACACGCCGCACCAGGTACTCATTTGAGGCTGAGTCGACTTAGGGGAGGCCCAGGACCCGGTTCAGATAATTGCCACGTGGTGTTGATGGCCGTGAGCGAGAATCGAACTCGGGTCGCCGGGTTCGTAGCGCAGCGTCGCGCTAACCACTACGCCACCGCTCCCCCGACATGACCAGCATACAAAGACAAAGGCCCCCCGTGTAGTCTCTAACAGACTGTCGGGGCAAGTGCTGTTAGCGAGCAGCAGCAGCAGCACCCTACGAAGTGCTACCGTCACTGTGGCACACGAGAGCAGGGGTGGGTGTTCAGCACCACGCCGTGTGGACAGCACCCACGCCGGGCCGCCTTTGTCTCCCCAGTGGCGATGTTCACACTGCACCACCTCTGCACAGGGTGCTCATTTGAGGCCGAGTCGATCTAGGGGGGTAAGAGACCCAGGCACCCGGTTCAGCACACGTACACGTACAATGCAGCACACGTACACACACACACACACGGCAATCCACCCGTGTATCGGCAGACGTGTGGTTTTTAAACGCGCACACGCACACTGCATTGCCATTACTCGTCACTATTTGACGGGAACCCTCACCGCGGCTACATTCTCGGCATCGTCCCTGCAGTGTCCATGTCGACACGATTCTGATCCTCGTTGTTGCACAGCACGTGAGAATGCGCCGCCCGAGCAGATAGAGGATGAAGATGATGATGAAGATGCGGCCGTGTCACAGCACAGGCTGCTGTGCACGATGAACATGACACGGGCATACACACACACACATGTGTGTACGTGCCCACACACGTGTGTGCATGTACGTACACACACACACGTGTGTGTACGTGCCCACACACGTGTGTGCATGTACGTACACACACACACGTGTGTGTGCATATACGTACACACACACACGTGTGTGTACGTGCCCACACACGTGTGTGCATGTCCGTACACACACACGCGTGTGTATGTATGTACACACACACACACGTGTGTGTGTATGTGCGTGTGTGTGTGCACGCCTACACCAACACATCGCGTGGCACTTACCTGGTGCTGCCGTTGTAGGATGAGAGCAGAGAGTGACGTCTGTCCGCCCCTTACATCCCTCGTGTGTGTGTGTACAGCCTACTACACACATACACCTCGCGTGTGTGTGTGTACAGCCTACTACACACACATACACCTCGTGTGTGTGTGTACAGCCTACTACACACACACACATACACCTCGTGTGTGTGTGTGTGTACACCTCGTGTGTGTGTGTGTACACCTCGTGTGTGTATGTGTGCACAGTCTACTACACACACGTACACCCTGTGTGTGTGTGCGCACAGTCTACTGCGTGTGTGTGTGTGTGTACAGTCTACCACACACACATACACCTCGTGTGTGTTTGTACGTGTGTGTGTGCGCACAGTCTACTGCGTACACACACACACGTACACCTGTGTGTGTGTGAGTGTTGTTCGCGTGATTCCCCTTGTCTCTGATGCGTTATCACTGCTGCAGGCAGCCCGACTGTGGCCGACAGAGCGAGTGAGGCTTCTTTATAATAACAACGACGACTCCGACTGGGTTACATAACAGACGTGTCCACACATCGCCAGCGGGCTAGGCGCTAAACGCGACCACCGATACAGATTAATGATTGTTTGTGACGTATCCACGAAATCAACCTGCTCATCGCAGTCCAACTATGGACTAGATATCTTTAAAAAATGTGGTTTATAGTTGGACAAAGCTAAGCCCGATATGATGGTTTGTGTTGCTGTGCTGGTGGTCATCTTCCGTGTGAATGATATACACGTGTGTAGGCCCAACCACTGGGTGTGTGATACACACAGCACAGAGGGTGACAGTCGTGTTAGTCTACACCGGTGTGTGTGTGTGATACACACAGCACAGAGGGTGACAGTCGTGTTAGTGTACACCGGTGTGTGTGTGTGATACACACAGCACAGAGGGTGACAGTCGTGTTAGTCTACACCGGTGTGTGTGTGTGTGATACACACAGCACAGAGGGTGACAGTCGTGTTAGTCTACACCGGTGTGTGTGTGTGTGATACACACACGCACAGAGGGTGACAGTCGTGTTAGTCTACACAGGTGTGTGTGTGATACACACAGCACAGAGGGTGACAGTCGTGTTAGTGTACACCGGTGTGTGTGTGTGATACACACAGCACAGAGGGTGACAGTCGTGCTAGATTACACCGGTGTGTGTGTGTGATACACACAGCACAGAGGGTGACAGTCGTGTTAGTCTACACTGGTGTGTGTGTGTGTGTGATACACACAGCACAGAGGGTGACAGTTGTGTTAGTCTACACCGGTGTGTGTGTGTGATACACACAGCACAGAGGGTCACAGTCGTGTTAGTCTACACCGGTGTGTGTGTGTGTGTGATACACACAGCACAGAGGGTGACAGTCTTGTTAGTCTACACCGGTGTGTGTGTGTGATACACACAGCACAGAGGGTCACAGTCGTGTTAGTCTACACCGGTGTGTGTGTGTGTGTGATACACACAGCACAGAGGGTGACAGTCTTGTTAGTCTACACCGGTGTGTGTGTGTGATACACACAGCACAGAGGGTCACAGTCGTGTTAGTCTACACCGGTGTGTGTGTGTGTGATACACACAGCACAGAGGGTGACAGTTGTGTTAGTCTACACCGGTGTGTGTGTGTGATACACACAGCACAGAGGGTGACAGTTGTGTTAGTCTACACCGATGTGTGTGTGTGATACACACAGCACAGAGGGTGACAGTTGTGTTAGTCTACACCGGTGTGTGTGTGTGATACACACAGCACAGAGGGTGACAGTCGTGTTAGTCTACACCGGTGTGTGTGTGTGTGATACACACAGCACAGAGGGTAACAGTCGTGTTAGTCTACACCGGTGTGTGTGTGTGATACACACAGCACAGAGGGTGAAAGTCGTGTTAGTGTACACCGGTGTGTGTGTGTGTGTGTGTGATACACACAGCACAGAGGGTGACAGTTGTGTTGGTCTACACCGGTGTGTGTGTGTGATACACACAGCACAGAGGGTGACAGTTGTGTTAGTCTACACCGGTGTGTGTGTGTGATACACACAGCACAGAGGGTGACAGTCGTGTTAGATTACACCGATGTGTGTGTGTGTGATACACACAGCACAGAGGGTAACAGTCGTGTTAGATTACGCCGGTGTGTGTGTGTCGATGTAGGAGCACGTCTCACCTGTGTGTAGGAGCACGCCACCTCGAGCCAGCGCTGACAGCTGACTGCGTCAATTGTGAACACAATCCAGAGCTTTCTGCCTCTCTCCCCTCCCTCTCTCTCTGTGTGTTGCACTCTCTCTCCCCGTCTCCCTCTCCTCTCCCCCTCTCCCCGTCTCTCTCTCTCCCCGTCTCTCTCTCTCCTCCTCCCTCCCCGTCCTCCCCTCTCCCCGTCTCCCTCTCCTCTCCCCCTCTCCCCGTCTCGCTGTCTATCTGTCGCTGTCTCCCCGTTTCTCTCTTCCCCGTCTCTCCCCGTCTCTCTCTCCCCGTCTCGCCCCCCCCCCCCCCTTTCCTCTCTCTCCGCTCCAGCCCGAATGAAAGTCGTGGTCCAATCACGAACACGCCTTCAGCGTCTCCATCCTGCCCCCCCCCCCCTCTCTCTCTCTCTCCGCCGTCGCTCTCCCAATCGCTCTCCCCCGCACCCTCTCACAGCCACGCCGGGGGGCGCCGTTCACGTGTGCCCGTGTCTGCTGCGTGGGGAGCGGTGGCGCAGTGGTTAGCGCTGCGCTGCGCTACGAACCCGGCGATCCGAGTTCGATTCCCGCTCACGGACAACACCGGTGGCGATTATCTGAACCGGTCCTGGTCCTACCCTAGGTCGACTCAGCCTGAAATGAGTGCGGTGTGTAGTAAACATCACTGCTAGGGAGACAAAGGCGGCCGGGCGTGGTGCTGGCCACCGGCCCTTCTCGTGTGCCACAGGGCCGGCCTTCATAGGTGCTGCTACTCGCTAACGACACTTGCCCCAGCAGTCTGTGCAGGCTACACGGGGGATCTTTGTCTTTGTAATTGGCACCTGCCGTGTGGCAGAGGCCTCCACCTGGAACCCCTCCCAGCAGCCTTGGTCTCCGCGAGCTGATGAAGGCTTCAAGGTGCATCCGATGTGTGGGCTTACCTGGGCTTACCTGTGCTTACCTGTGGGTACCGCGGTGGCTAGGAGATGTCAACTACCTCGCCTGGTACGCAGGAGGGCGTGGGCATCGATCTCGACCCTGACGCCTGCTGCTGCTGTATATTTGGAGTCTGCGTGTCTCTCTCTCTCTCATCATCACGGTGGCTAGGAGATATTAACTAACTCGCCTGGTGTGCAGGAGGTCGTGGATTCTATCCCGACCCTGACGCCCGCTGCTGCATATTTGGAGTTTGCGTGTCTCTCTCTCTCATCATCATCACGGTGGCTGGAAGATGTTAACTACCTCGCCTGGTGTGCAGGAGGTCGTGGGATGGATCCCGACCCTGACGCCTGCTGCTGCTGCTGCTGTATATTTGGAGTCTGCTTGTCTCTCTCTCATCATCATCACGGTGGCTAGGAGATGTTAACTACCTCGTCTGGTATGAAGGAGGTCGTGGGTTCGATCCTGACCCTGACGCATGCTGCTGCTGCTGTATATTTGGAGTCTGCCTCTCTCTGGGTCCTCCGGTTTTTCCCTCCCACGTTTAGAATCGACATCAGAATCAGAATCAGAAATCAGAAACGGTTTTAATCGCCATGTAAGTTTGCACAAACAAGGAATTCACTATGGCGGGACGGTGCATACATTGAACAAGTAGGAATCTTAACTTATATAAAAGGTATACACTCTAACTATACTAACGTTACAAAGTATAAGTAATACCAAAGGGCTAAAATCTTTAAAATTATGAATAAGTAGACCTTATAAAATGCGAATGTAAAATGTTAATTAGCCGTATTAAACAATCTTAAAATACAAAAATACAAATAAGTTTACACGTTGTAAGTATGACAAGGTGTAATTTTGTAGATAAAATTATGTAGATAAAATTATGTAGATAAAATTATGTAGATAAAATTATGTAGATAAAATGTTATAGTAAGTGTAACAGTCATTTTAAGCCCTTGGCCTTGTTGAGGAGGCCAACAGCAGACATCGCCACGCGTTCAGAGTGATTGGGCTCGCTGGCTCTACGTTCGCACGACGACGACGACGATGATGATGAGAAGCCACTTTCGTTGAGGTATCATTTGCGATAGCCAGATGCCGCTTCTGAAAAATAACTAAGTTGCTCAGTGGAAAAATTAAAATCGTCACAGCCACCTCTGAGACACACTTGAGCGGAGTGCTTTCGCTACGTTGTCCTCACCTGAAGAAGGCCGCTTGTGTTGCGCCCGAAACGTCGTCATTTAATTCAGTTTAATCTTTCTACCTACGTGACTTTACTGAAAAAAACAAAGCGTATGAATCATTGCAGTCACGAAAACTTAAAATCTAGAAGCTCAGTGGAGCCTTGCAGCCTGGTGAAAACAGAGATTAGTGTATGGATTCTAGATTTGAAACTTTCGTGACTGCAAGGATTCATACTCTTAGGTTTTTTTCGGTAAAGTCACGTAGGTAAAAAATAAAATTAAAATTAATAAAAGTAATAATAGAAATAAAATAAATTAATAAATCACGGCGTTTCGGAGGCAACACAAGTCTCCGTCATCAGGTGGGACCGTCACAGCTAAATTTACTGTATCAAGTGAGGAAAAATCCAAGAGACAAGCCCTTAAATACAAGTTGGATTTTTCACTTGATACAGTAAATGTAGCTGTGACGGTCCCACCTGATGACGGAGACTTGTGTTGCCTCCGAAACGTCGTGATTTAATATTTTATTTTATTTCTATTATTACTTTTATTTTTTGCCTACGTGACTTTACCGAAAAAACCTAGTAGTATTAGTGTATGGCATACTGAATGGCACACACAGCTTTGCGTGTATACTCAGGGTGCTGCAGCCGACGCGATGTAGTCGTGACCCGCGGATTGAACCCTAAACCACCACATTAGGCCACGACCAGACATCAGCTGTGACATTGAAATCTACGGGACTCCTTTTTTTGCCAGTACCGTATCAAGATGATGAAATGGAAGTAAAATAATGAGAATAATAATAATAGGCTTTACCCTTTCCGGCAATAGTACATCCAGGAGTTGTGTTAAGGTGTCCAATGAATAGACACGCAGATCGCAAGCCATCATGAACAAGTCTGCATTAACCACGCATCGTGCTTGTGGCAAGAAAACGTCTCAAACAAACATGCTCTGTTTCGATTTAAAGCTTTCGTGACTGCAGCAGGGATTCATCTTCTTGGTTCTTTCGGTAAAGTCACGTAGAATGGAAATAGTAAAATAATAAAAATAAAACATAATAAAATAACAAGCTCTGATAGGAATGTGGGCATGGTCCTTGAAACGGGTTGACCTCCACGAGAGACGACAGGCGAGATGGGGGGGTGAGCGACTCCATCAGCGCCCAGGGGCAATGCCGCACGTGCCAGAGGGTGGACAACTCGGGGGGTGGGGGGGTGAGCGACTCCATCAGCGCCCAGGGCAATGCCGCTCGTGGCAGAGGGTGGACAACTCGGGGGGGGGGGGGGTGAGCGACTCCATCAGCGCTCAGGGCAATGCCGCACGTGGCAGAGGGTGGACAACTCGGGGGGGGGGGGTGAGCGACTCCATCAGCGCCCAGGGCAATGCCGCACGTGGCAGAGGGTGGACAACTCGGGGGGGGGGGGGGGTGAGCGACTCCATCAGCGCTCAGGGCAATGCCGCACGTGGCAGAGGGTGGACAACTCGGGGGGGGGTGAGCGACTCCATCAGCGCCCAGGGCAATGCCGCACGTGGCAGAGGATGGACAACTCGGGGGGAGGGGTGAGCGACTCCATCAGCGCCCAGGGTTATGCCGCAAGTGGCAGAGGGTGGACAACTCGGGGGGGGGGGTGAGCGACTCCATCAGCGCCCAGGGCAATGCCGCACGTGCCAGAGGATGGACAACTCGGGGGGGGGGGGGGGGGTGAGCGACTCCATCAGCGCCCAGAGCAATGCCACTCGTGGCAGAGGGTGGACAACTCGGGGGGGGTGAGCGACTCCATCAGCGCCCAGGGCAATGCCACTCGTGGCAGAGGGTGGACAACTCGGGTGGACCAGGGCCACGGCAAACAGCGCGGGGGGCGGTTCGGAGGTGGGATGGAGCGCGTCCAGAGGCCCTCTTCGATGCTGACCCAGGCGGAGACGAGGAGGATGGGGGGTGTTGTTCTGTTTGTTGTTGTTGTCCTTGTTGTTGTTGTCGTTGTTGTTGTTCTTCTTCTTGTTGCTGTTGTTGTCCTTGTTGTTGTTGTCCTTGTTGTTGTTCTTCTTGTTGTTGTTGTCCTTGTTGTTGTTCTTCTTGTTGTTGCTGTTGTTGTTGTCCTTGTTGTTGTTCTTCCTGTTGTTGTCCTTGTTGTTTTTATTGTTGTCACTGTTGTTGTTGTTGCCCTTGTTGTTGTTGTCGTTGTTGTTGTCGTTGTTCTTGTTGTCCTTGCTCTTGTTCTTCTTCTTGTCTTGTTGTTGTTGTCCTTCTCGTTATTGTCGTTGTCCTTGCTGTTGTTGTTGTTGTGGCAGCGTTACGCGACGCATAATTTCCCGGTCGGCCACAAGGGGGACCCCGAATCAACAGATAAACAAGTCAACGATGTTCAAGAATTTGTTTTTTTTAATCTTTAAAATTTATTCAATGAAAGTTTCCTGCGGCCTATCACCATGAACCAAGCACCACTAACCTGTCAACTCCTAACCAGTGCCCTACATCGTGACAGAGCAATCCACACCGTACTGGTCACCCCGTGACATTATCAATCTCAACTTTCATCCTACAAAGACCCATCACAAGTAGAGAAACACAAAAAATAAAAAGTTGTTTAACTCAATTTCCCTGCACAAGAATACGGATAAACAGTTTGGTAATAGGGGTTTCCCACCATTTTTTCTGGCAACAAAACAGGTGATAAGATTTCGATTTAAAGCTTTCGTGACTGCAGGGATTCATCTTCTTGGTTATTTCGGTAAAGTCACGTAGAAGGGAAATAATAATAAATAAACATAATACGATAAAATGTATTTTATTTTATAAGTAAATATGAAATATGTTTTATTTTTATTATTTTAAAAAAGAAAACATAATAAAAGAAAATGTATTTTACATAAAAAAAATATGTTTAATTTTTTTTACTTTATTTTTTCCCTTCTACGTGACTTTACCGAAAGAACTAAAGAGGTGATAGGATGTTAAAACACCAAACTGACACCTTTTACAAGGAGTCATGTCTGCATTAACCACAAGACTTCTAGTCAGAATGCAAACAATAAACACACGATCTAACCCAAAACAAACTCTATTATGGATAC